ACGGCGCCGCGTTCAAAGCAATGAGCAATGTTAGCACCTACGTAACTCGACTCAAGTCTTCGCTTACACCAAGAACGGACGGACCTTGCGACGCTCGAGACCCGAGAGCACGGCGTAGGTGAGGACGGGTTTGCCCGCAATGAGCCCTCGGATGCCTGAAAGAGGACTAGAGTTTATAGTTGAATGGGAGGATATAGTACCCTCAAAGGTGATGTAAACGTCGCCGTTAAGCGCCAGCACAGTCAGAACGATAAGCAGAATTTGGAACGCAATGAGCTCGGACGCGTTCGAGACTTGATTGCCGCAGAGCCACGCTGGCGTGACTGGAATCCCACCGTGTTTTCCTAGCACGCATTCAAATGCCGTGCAAAGGCGGGGATGCGACGCACCTTGACTCCACCTGGCAATCCGAGGTCGGACGGGACCTGGATCTGCGAGATGCAGTAGACGTTGACCGTATACCTATCACCAGAGCAATCATGTGTGGTCCTTCAGACAATATGCAAATACCGAGTCGTCAGCGGTGTGGAGAGTACGATGAAATCTGTGCCGATGGCATCGGCGGCGTAGCTACCATCGGTGGCAATCATGGTCCGCAATGGTGTGGACACAATGTCTTGCGACGTGCCATCCGTGTTGCGGTGGTGCGTGATCGACTAGACATGAAACACGTCCCATGTCATCCCAAGCACCTCGATGCGACCTGCATGGCGACATTTTTGTCCGAGTAGAGTGTGAGGAGGTAGACGCCATGGTCGTTCCGAACCTAGTACGGTAAGTGTCTACTCCATCGGATCCGACTTTGTACGGTGGTTTCCAGCATGGCGATGCCAGCAATTGGCTGGCCACCGGTGGTTGGAATGCACGCAGGATACGCATCGTAGCCGGCAATGAAGATGAGGACGCCCCACCCGACGGCCGTGTGGCCACCGACGATGCACGTCGTAATGTACAATGGTGAGGCTAGGGTAGAAACAAGATGACTAACTTTTGGTTAGCTGGGTTCACGCTGTACCTTCTTGAAGCTCCAACGACCACTGTGCAGCGAGAATGTGTCCGACAGAGGCCCACGCATCCGGCGTCGTCGCATTGGCCTCGAGGGCCGAGCACGACTGTGGCACCCAGCCTGTCGACGCCAGCTCACACGTCTCGCCGTATCCAGCCCAAAAGTAGTCAAGCGACTGTCCGTTGTTGGACATGACAAGCCGATCAAACATGCCCTAGACAGGATATAGACACTAATAGCAGCAGGTAGGAATCGTACCTCCGTGATGAGCACGATGAGCGTAAGAAGAGATAACAGAATGAGGGCCCCGGCCGAGAGGTTGGAGACAATGCGACCAAACGCGCTCAGCTGCTTTCGTCCGTGGTCGCCCGACTTGCCCGAGACACCAATTGTCGACGGCAGCGCCTACCCCGTAAGGGATTATCATTAAGTCAGCGAAGACGCCTTCGCACCGTGTGATGCATTCCCATTGTTGTGCCCGTGGCTGGGATTGTGCCCGAGACGGAGCTGGGCGCGGACTAGGCCTCATTTTGAGATTCTGTGTTCGCATTGTGAGCACCAGGTACCTGGCGCAGCCCATGAACCCACGCATGCGGCCCGAAACGGGGCATACTTCAATGGCTTGTAAAGGCAACAGGGCCAAAAATACGTTGACGTGGAGCGACGCAGCAAACGTCATCTCGAAACTGCAATGTCACTTTTAGCCAAGGAATTGCTCTGATTTCAACTAGCAAACAAGCAATGACTGCCATGTAGTGTGGTCTTTTGGATGCTGCATCGCAGAGGTCGTGGACACTAGTGTTGAAAATGTCAACAGACAAACGCCCACCTCGAGATGTGGACCTTCTAGGTGAAGTTGCAGTTTCGCTGACCAGATCGACGCGATAAGCAGACAGTTGACAGCTACTGAATGCAGTCATTACACATTGGACCTGGCCGCTTTGTTCGTGCCCCGCCACTCTCAGCGGCGACGTCCATCGAACCCTCCAACCTCCCACTCGAACATTTAACAAGGCGGAAACCGGAGCTACCAATCTATCACCTTTTCTAATGGCAACAACAATGACTCTGCTCATTTAACCTTATCTCTAGTCTTTCAACCTAATGGAAGTCATTTTTAAGTGCTACTTCATGCCAATACGACGCGGTATCACGTGACGCAGTTGCCGCGGGTGTACCGATACCGCACGGCAGGGTCCAGCGTCGCGTCGTGCTTGGCAGTCTTGGGCTGGAATTGGTTCTCGGCGACCGTGCCTGCGACAAACGGCCGGAGCATCGAGCACCACTGCGGTGCGATCGCGAGCCCGAGCCAGTAGACACTAACGACGTATGTCTCCCCATTCGGTTGCTTTGGATTGCACGGGACAACGTCGTTCATGCTCTTCCTACGAAGGACCATTCT